TGTGCTTAAGATTGGCTAAGAGCTTCACCTAATCCAGTTGAGATTAAAGAGACGTTGGAGGCTCTTGAGGTTGTCGAACAAGGTAATGAATATTTTAAAAATTCAAATACAATGTTTTGAATACTTAATTTGTCCCCTTTCTTTTAGATGTCGTTAATACACTATGCACCGCTATCATACTACTGCTTAGTTATCATTACAATGCAACTGCTTTTCTCTTGCTTGTTCTGTTTTTGTTAGTTCTGTTTAGACTGTCTATATTTATTTTTGTGTTGGTCTCCTTATATTTGGTGCATTTTTGCTGTAGTGTTACATTGTAAAGAAGATTAGATCAAAAACTGATATTATGAAAATGTCTTTTGTAAAACTGATATTTTTGTCTTTTGTAAAACTGATATAAAACTGATATTTTTGTGTTGGTCTCCTTATATTTGGGAAAATGTCTTTTGTTTGTGTTTTTAGAAGCTGGTAGGGAAGTTTGGAAGTTGCAGACTGCAACTTAGAGCCACTAGACATTTTACATTAATATATTATTTCCCCAGATTTTTTTTCTTCTTTTTGATGGGTTTTGGAGGATGAATGGATGGGAGAGAAGCTATGGGGTCATTAAAGCTATTGAATTCTCTTTTTGATGGGTTTTGGAGGCAAAACAAGCATTTAATTGTTGATATTGCTCTCGAAGGCAAAACACTAAAACCCCAAAGCACATTTTTCTAATTATCCTTTTTCTACTACACTGTTGATTTTGATGTTGCAGGCTGATAATTCATGTTTTATAATCTTATTACTCATGGCTGATTTGCATATTTTTTTGCTGAAGATATATATTAGTATATATGTACAAGTAACTACTGTTAATTCTTGTATGATTACCCTTTTGCTTGTCCATATATGTATAATAAGAGAATCTTACATACTTTTAATTTGCATTTTGTAGGAACTGCTGATGGTTTTGAAGGTTAACCATTCCGTGAATAGTTGGCAATTGAAAAAAGAAGTTCAACATTAGATATCTATCTTGCTATATGTTGGGTTGGCTTGTGGTGTTTTAACGTTTCTCTTTATGAGATTATGTGAAGCTTGGGCAATAACATATGGTTATTTGGTTTATTAGAACGGTTAAATGCTAAATTTCTTTCTTTTGATAACATCTTTAGAAATGAACATGAACAACCAAGTTTGTTGAACAATTTATGTGATGTTTGCATGTTGTTGTTGTTTTGGTTTGAATAATATTAGAAGAAATTAAGCTTGATAATGTTATTGATTGTTGTTCAAAGAGTACTATATCGTTGTTGTTCTTATAGTGATATTTGTATATATATATATGTGTGTGTGTGTGTGTATGTATGTATGCATGCATATTGAAAATATTCCACCATTGACTAACAGGGGTTTGAAATCTTCTATGGCCTTCTGAAAGGCTATGACTATGTTTGCATCATACTCATTCAAAGAAAACTTGAGGAATATTCCTAGGAATTAGGCAGTCTTTCTGGATTCAGTGATTGACTTTTCTAGGAAAAGTAGTGGAATCTTTAGCAATTTTCTTTTACCCCTAGTATTACTAGTTGGAATTTCAAGCCCTGTGAAAGCGGTTTCCAATTTCCACTTTGCTTTCAATAAAACAAAACCCATACATACAAGTTAGCAGTTGCATAGAGAGATGGGGGCAAGCTTGAGAGTTGAGAGACAGTGGCTGAAGCTTGCGAACCCGAATTGGAACAGTGGGCGATGGAAACTGAAAGATATGGGTTTTGATTTTTTGAACAATCTGAAATGATATGCCGATATGGGTTTTGAACTTTTGATTCTTGCAAACAGATAGATAAACTAAAATATATGGGTTTTGAACTTCTAATTCTTGTAGATTTTGTAGTTGCAGAGAGAGAGATGGCAAGTTTGCCGTTGAAAAATATTTTATTTTTTGGTTTAGTTACTAAAAATATAATCAAATACATATATATATATATATATATATATATATATATTAAAAAAAAAAATCAACCTGTGAATCTGACCCGATCCGTCCGAAAATATTCGGCTCGGGTTATAACACAACCCATGTTAGGTGCAATTCGGGCTGGCCCAATCCAACCCGATTTCGGATTGAGATTGGGTTGGGAGTGGGCTTGGTTGAGCCAGCCCAACCTGCAGCCCTACATATAACTCTGATTATGCATTCTCAAAATAAAAGTTTTATATATATTTGAAATAATTGTGCCACATTCCAAAGTGAATGAATTTTATATTTTTTAAGTTATTTGAGTGTCACATGCGCTACATTCTCAAAAAAAAGTATTAATAATTATACACAATAAAGCATATTGTGAACTGGAAAGTGATTCCCTTTCATATATAAACATTAAACACTCACTGGATTCCATTGGAAGGTGTTATATTTTAAAAAATAATAGTGCTACATTTGAAAGTACATGAATGTTATATTGTTTAGTTTATTTGAGTGTCGCACGCGTTAAATTCTCAGAAAAAATATATAGTTATTGTGATAAGAATCATATGAGTCTTGGAAAGTTCGCCAGCACCAATTTTTTTAAAAGTAAAAATTTAAAACAGAAAAGATGTGATTATTAATAAGCAGCCGGCCTGCATAGCATTATTTAACCGGAGATTATATAGAGGGAGAATGTTTATAATATGAAAGCGAATCTCTTTCCAAACACTTGGCCGGCACCAATTTTTTTAAAAAGTAAAAATTTAAAACAGAAAAGATGTGATTATTAATAAGCAGCCGGCCTGCATAGCATTATTTAACCGGAGATTATATAGAAGGAGAATGTTTATAATATGAAAGCGAATCTCTTTCCAGTATATGGCAAAGGTGGAGTGTTGGAGTATTTTTATTAGGGAAAATTACATATAAATGGAGTCAAAATTCCATATTTACTTAGAGGCTGAGTCAAAGTTCCATATTTCTCTAAAATGGATTGCTGAGGTGGCACATGGTTTTTTACTGTTTAGAAATTGTGGTGCCTAAAATACCCTTCCGCGAAGGTACTATTTTTTCTTCGAAGGTACTACTTTTTTGAACTGAAGGTACTACTTTTTGGTGTCCAGGTACCATGTTTTTTAAACACCCGCGAAGGTATTACTTTTTTAAACTGAAGGTACTACTTTTTTGAACTGAAGGTACTACTTTTTTGTTAGGGAAGGGCATTTTAGGCACCACAATTTTCTAAACAGTAAAAAACCATGTGCCACCTCAGCAATCCATTTTAGAGAAATATGAAACTTTGACTCAGTCTCTAAATAAATATGGAACTTTAACTCCATTTATATGTAATTTTCCCTTTTTATTAATCGGTCATATCATATAGGCCCGTGTCCAATTGTTTCGATTTGGTGTCTATAACTTCCTCATCAGGACTTACCCCCAACCTAGAGTAGCTAGGTGGGGAAGTAAAATTAATCCTTATTCAACAATTCGAAGTGTTTTTCTTGCGTATTCTTGATAAACCAGCATTTATATATAGATGTACGAAGATCTGTTTGGAAAGTAAGAAGCCCCTTTGACATGTCTTCATCTGCAAATAATTATCGATGTGAAAACATATAGACAAAGGGCTGATCTTTAAATAGGAAAAAGAGTGAATCCGCATAGTCCCAAATGAATTGGCTTATTCGTTTTGGAAAGAGATTCGCTTGAATTGGCTTATTCCTTCTGGAAAGAGATTCGCTTTCATATTATAAACATTCTCCCTCTATATAATCTCCGGTTAAATAATGCTATGCAGGCCGGCTGCTTATTAATAATCACATCTTTTCTGTTTTAAATTTTTACTTTTAAAAAAAATTGGTGCTGGCCACTGTATTCTGGAAATAGATTCGCTTTCATATTATAAACATTCTCCCTCTATAGAATCTCCGGTTAAATAATGCCATGCAGGCCGGCTGCTTATTAATAATCACATCTTTTCTGTTTTAAATTTTTACTTTTTGGTGCTGGCGAACTTTCCAAGACTCGTATGATTCTTATCACAAAAACTCTCTCTCTCTCTCCATATATATATATATATATATATATATATATATATATATATATATATAACACACAAATAAACACATATATGCCGAGTCGAAAACTTGAAAGGCCTTGCATTTCTTTCTACCCGTTTTGTTGTGTGTTTCGTTTCAATTATTTCTGACACCCTCTATGCACTGAAGAGAGAAGCAACTCGAGAACTCATTTAGAACTACCACGTAAGTCTCTCTTTCTCTCTCTATATATGAATGAATTACACTTGTATCCATACTACTACATGTATGATATGAGTATGAATCCTTTACTTTGTGTTTTGATCTCAATCGTCCAAGATCATCTTAACTCGTACGTATATATTGCTTTGATTATTGGAATAAAAATTATGAACCGAGAAACTACATATATATGAGTATCATGTTATGTATACGGCCCAAGCACATATATACACGAATATGAATTAGACTTTCAAATCTTTGACGAGATAAAATTTTGTATATGCATATAAAATAAATTTTCAAATAGGAAGACAATATTTTCTTTGCTTGCACTCTGATGAAGATTCAAGTACGTGCTCTTCCAAATGCCCCAAATGACAGAAGAGAATAAATAACATTATCATCTAAATGAGATTCAAATATTATCATTTAAATGAGATTCAAAGCCTTTTAGGAATTTTTACACATAAATGTAATTATGGACCCATATTAACTGTATCATGAAGTCAAAGCTTGAAGTTTCTTAAAAATGAAGTTGACTTAATTGCTAATGTGGCAACTTTCACCATTCATTATACTTTGTTGCCTAAAATACCCCTTATACTGTTTAAATCAAATTACTTCATTAACCCCTTCATTTATCAGGCGCACAAATTAAAATAACTCTCTCCCCTTCTGCATCTCACCAACCACCCCCACCCTCCATTTCCATCATTATATTTATGCCCCGCCACCTCCCCTCTCTTCATCCTCCACACCACCACCACAACCTCCATCACAACAGCCACTAACCCCATATTTAACACCACCACCACGACACTTTACCTCGAAAAATATGCCCAAGACTACATACATACATACATACATACATACATACATACATATATGGGTAAAAAGATGAATTTGGGGAAGAGGATGGCTTTAGAGAGAGAAATCAAAGTGGTTCCCTTTTGGGATATTTTGGATGCGGATGTTATAGGCAGAAATTGGTTTTTTATGGGATTTGTGTTGATAAATAAATGAAATGGGATAATCAGGTAAATTGATTCAAACAGAACAAGGGGTACTTTAGACAACAAAATATAATAAACAGTGAAATCTTTACCACATCAGCAATTCAGTCCACTTCATTTTTCAGAAACTTCCAGACTTTGACTGAATGATATAGCGAATATGGGTCCATAAGTACACTTTTTTGTAAAAATCCCAAAAATGCGAACGGTATGATTTTTTAAGCTATTGAATCATCTCCTGCCCCCATCAATACATTTGTTTAGATGGTTTTTTCTCTCTTACATAGTAGAAGCAAGTGAAGCATTTTTTTAAGGTGCATACAAAACATAAATTAACAGAAAGTTAAACCCTAGCATTCCCTAATCAATATGCTTTGTGACACATGCTTGTACAATATCCTCCATGATTCAATACTAAAATGCAATGAGAGTAATGCTGATAATTGTGGATGAAATTCACAGAGTCTTACCACTACGCATTTGATGGAGCTCCCATGGCCCTCCATCCCAATTCTTTTCACTTTCCTGCTGTTTCTGTTCATGGTTATGAAAATAGTATCTAAAAACAAGAGGTTGAGTCCAAATCTACCCCCTGGGCCATGGAAGCTACCTCTCATTGGAAACATGCACCAGCTTGTTGGATATGATCTAACCCATCGCCGCCTACGAGATTTGGCCGTGAAACATGGACCTGTGATGCACCTGCAACTTGGACAGCTTTCCATCATTGTCATTTCTTCAGCAGAAACCGCGAAGGAAGTGATGAAAACACACGACATCATCTTTGCTAACAGGCCTTATCTCCTTGCTGCAAGTATATTATCTTATGATTTTACAGGCATGTTCTTCGCCCCATATGGGGACTATTGGAGACAACTTCGGAAAATTTGCATAATGGAGCTTCTAAGTATACAACGCGTCCAATCATTCCGACCCATTAGAGAAGAAGAGATATCAAATCTCATCAAATCTATTTCAACGCAAACAGGATCTCTGCTCAATCTCAGTAAAGAAGTTTTCACCTCAACAAACGACATCACTGCAAGGGCGGCCTTCGGTAAGAAATGCCGGGATCAAGAAGAATTCATATCACTTATCAAGGTGGTCATAGAGTTAGGAGGAGGTTTCAATGTAGCCGATCTCTTCCCTTCAGTTAAATTGCTTGCTTTGATCAGTGGGCTGAGGCCCAAACTTGAGAAGCTTCATCGGAAACTTGATGGGATACTTGACCGCATCATTGATGAACATAAAGCTAAAAAGGCAGCAACAAAGACTACTACCATTAAGGACGAAGCAGACGAAGACCTGGTAGATGTTCTTCTAAGAGTTCAGGAGCATGGTGACCTTGAGTTCCCCATAACCATCAATAACATCAAGTCAGTTATATTGGTTAGTACATTTACTTTTCACTTCTATTTCTATCAATCAAATTCCACAACTTAGTCAGTTCATTAAGCATGATAACCCTATATGTGAAGCTACCCTGTTTATAAATTCAGTATTAAACATCCAGAAAATTCACTACTCAATCACAAATGGGTGAAGTTTGAAACCAACATCCACTCTGTGTTCAATGTGTAAGGTTGGTCCGATGCCCAAAGGGGCATCGACAGGCCAACCTTTAGGAATTGTAGAGAGCCTAAAAGAAGTATATAGGATGAGATTGTTCTATATAATATATTCTTTACTCAATGTCGTTTCAGGACGTTTTCAGTGCCGGGAGTGAGACATCGTCAACAACTGTAGAATGGGCAATGTCAGCAATGCTGAAAAACCCAAGTGTTATGCAAAAGGCACAAGCTGAGGTGAGAAATGTCGTAAGGAAAAAAGGAAATAGTACTACTGTTGATGAAGTAGACCTCCATGAATTGAACTACTTAAAGTTGGTAATCAAAGAAACTCTGAGATTACACACAACTGTTCCTTTATTAGTGCCGAGAGAGTCCACCGATAGATGTGAAATTAAGGGATATGAGATACCTGTCAAGAGCAAAGTCATTGTCAATGCATGGGCAATATGTAGAGATCCTGAACAATGGACTGATCCAGAAAGCTTTAATCCAGAGAGATTCCTTGACAGTCCAATTGATTACAAAGGGGCTCATTTTCAATATACGCCATTTGGTGCTGGAAGAAGAATATGTCCTGGCATCTTGTTCGCACAGGCTAACATTGAGCTTCAACTTGCGCAACTATTGTATCACTTTGACTGGAAGCTTCCTGATGGAACAAAGCATGGAGATCTAGACATGACTGAGGTCTTTGGTATAACAGTTCGAAGGAAAAGAGATCTGTGCGTGATTCCAATTGCTTATCATTCTTCAAGTACCGCTGAATAAGGCAAGAAGCTAGAAAGCAATAATTGGATGTCCACTATCCATTATCAAACTTAATTTCAATTCAATTTGAGTTTGTAATATTAATTAGTTTAAAGCAGGGATACAAAAACTTCTCCCCAGGGCGCTCCCCCAAATTTCGAGGTGATTGTGATGTAGGACAAGAGGAAAAGTTGAAATAAATACAGAGTAAGAGTTTATTGGCTGGAAATTCAAATAAACACTATTGCAGTTCAAGATGTGTTAGTAGAAAGAAATGATTTGAAAATTAAAAAGCCTGATGGAATCACACCTCATATTTTGTGAATCACTCACAATAATTTCATAAGGTCAATGTAACTCCTGACTCTAGGATTATCTCAGAATTGAGGCAATACTGGACTCTTGAAAAACCCATAATTGAGGCAATCAATACTTGACTCTTGAATTATCATATAATTGAGGTAATCAATACTAACTTAATAACATAATAAAAGTAAATAAAAGTTGACCAAAACCACGTGGACCACTAGAGTCTTAGAATTCTCAGATTGGCTCTGATACCTTCAATTAGACCCCGCTCCATGCTATGAAGATACTATCGGGTTTGCACCCTATTTGTGCTCATGGTTATCAAAAGGCATCTATACAAGTAGCAGACATCCCCCACCTACCAGTAACTTCTCTCCCCAAGCAATATGGGACTCTACAACTAATTTGTTCCATCTTTCTTTTGAAAAATCCTTAACACCCAACAGTAACTTCTCTCCCCAAACAATATGGGACTCTACAACTAACTTCTCTCCCCAACAAACACCCACCCTCAAAATGAAACAATACACCACAACAATCTTATAACAAATCATTACAACCTTCAAACGAACTTCTTATCCTCCAATTGCATGAGCTATGCAGCTTCTGAGATCTGCCCAATAGTCTTTTCATGAGTGTCGTAGGCATGATCACCGTCATCTCCATTACTTTCACCTTCTTATTGTTTCCTGTTGTTTATCATCTTCTTCTTCCAAAAGAGCCACAAACATGGTTAAAATATCTAAATTGGCACACCACTTCTTCAAAAATATCAAGTTCCCTGCGAGCGAGAACTTTATAATATAGCACATCAACACCATCAAACACCAGCTCTTCACAACAGTAGAAGACATGAAAGCTAAATGGCTAAGTAAAAAAGATTTCCAGACTCCCAAGATAGAGTTGAGGCCTGAGAAAATGTACGTGAGGGTTTCCCTAATTTATATGAACTAACTGGTTCACCACCCAGCAAACAGAGTGAAACAAAAGAGAAGTAGTTAATATACGTAAACCACAAATTCAATTCTCTGGATGGCTATACTTTAACTGATGGTTTGTGGAGTATACTATTATCATATAGAGTTGAAGAATGGGGAAGAACAACAAAAATAAAAGGTAATGCACTTTATTGATAAGGATCAACGCTGTGAGTAAACTACATTTAAAGGATCAAAACATGCAAATTAAAAACCCTAAATTGGTAAGCACAATATTGAGATTTGAATTTACCCCTTTACCCTTGCTGAAGCTTTAAATTCTTGAATTTTCCCTTGGACATAGGTAACTCCTCTAACTAACTTAGCTAACTTTTAAAACATAAACAAAGCTAAAAATCAAAATTATCACTCTGTTTTGTACTAAATTTGTCAATGAGCAATTAAACTCCCGATGACCTCATATACAGAACAAGGAAAATGAAATTCATGCCTATTAGTTAGGCCTATTTGTCAAAGTGAAACAATTATGACCATTGATGGTTTGAAGTGGAACCTGTTTTAGGCCCACTTCAAGCTATCAATGGCCTTAATTGTTTCACCTTGACAAATAGGTCTAACTAGTCGGCCTGAACATCATGACGCCATATTGAGCCAAGACGCTCACCATGGCATGCCAACTTCCCAGCAAACCAAAAGCCTACTTTGGCAACATAGATTTACCACAGAGCAAGTCTTCACTTCACCAAAAAGCATGCTAGTTGAGACAACAAATCCTCTATGGAAAAAGGCAACCATATATTGGAATTTATACAGAGCACCTACCTCCATATCCACCTTGAACTACATACCATGCTAAATCCATACATTTGAATGAATGGAACACACAACTCACATTGAGAAATCATTTATGAAGCCATCTGCATAAATTAATTCACCTAGAGGGTATATAGATTTGGCGTTGTATAGACCAATCAAGTAAAAGAACCACCAATTAGCAAAAGATAAAAGAAATAAAACCATATTCTCTAAAAAGCCACACAATATATGATAAAAGTTCCTTATGAACAAAAATTTAAGTTGACCACTGCTTCTATCCACCGTATCTTCCTTATTCTATTAACACACAAAAAATGAGCATTTCATTTTAGGTTCTGCTTTGTGAAATCATATGCTTTTCTGTGTCCCAAACAATGAAATCCTTGGATTCAAAATTCTAATTTTTCTCATTTTTTTCTTTATTTTCTCAAATTTCTTGGTAGCCAAACAGAGCATTGGAGGTGCGGATTAGCAGAAATTACCTTATCAACAACATCTGCACGGACGCTGAGCGGTGAAGAACCAGTACTTTCAGAACCCACAATCTGAAAAATTAAATAAATTAATTAAATCAAACGGAACAAAGAAGTACTACTCCGTCCTTCAAGAAATGGCAAAGCATCTGTAAGGAATATCTAGGGTTTCGTGAGAATCCAACACTAGAGGAGTAGGAGGGGCGTTTAACAATAGCAGTAATAAAATAAAATAAATTTTCAAACTACCGTAATAGTTTTCTTTTTTTAAAAAAATAACTTAATAAATATTTTTATTTAAAAATGCTCATATATATATATATATATATATATATATATAAATGCATCTATATTTAAGTTTGTATACTTCTGATGAAACTTGATTGACCTCTTCACACAGTACAACTTGACAAATGTGACACACTGCTAATGAAAAAGAATATGCATGAGTTAATTTTAACTTTTCAATGACAAGTTAATTTAAACTTTCATGGCCAACGATGTTGATCGACTCCTTAGAAAAACAAATTGAGTTCTCTCATCAGTTTGTCTGCATAAATCAAGTATGCATGCAAGAGAAATCAACAAGAAAAAAAAACAGAGAGATGAAATTCTCCATCTCTGTTTTCGAAGATTTATGTACAATCAACGTTATATATAAAGAGTGCAACAAAATATTAAAAGATTACTAGAGGAATTATTAGAATTTTAAGAAACTCTCAAAAATGTAATATAAATAAATAAAATTTTCAGTGCAAGAGAAAAAAAAAAGCAAAAAAAAAATCATTAGAAATTTGAAAATTTACAAGAATATGGGGTAAATAAATGAATAAAAATTCAGTTGGAGCGGCCGTCCCACTAGATCTCAAGGGATGATAACAAGAGTGGTTCTAGACCCGCCCCCTACCCATCCCTATTCAAAACTGCCTAAACGGAGTGTCCTGCTATCTTGTTCCCACCTCGATTTATGTTTTTGCACACTGAGTACTCGTTTTTTTTCTCTCCAAACACAATTATGCAAGATTACAAGTATAATTAACGGATCAATGACCTACCAGTATCAAATTTTTACTTTTTAAAACTAGTTCAAGGTTCAAACCAAAATAAAAAATAAAAAATGAAAGAGAATACAAGTATACAACCCACACAAAAAGTAGTTTAACATAAAATAATGGTGGATCTTACAAATAAATGATCAAATCTTTTATAAACAGTACTTTAAGTCATTGTCGGGATATTAGTGATGTCAACTTAAATATTGTCGGTATTTTATTAATTATTATCATATGATTTATATCGTCCAAGTACAAAGGCCAAATATAGTAACTAGTCACTTCAGTCTAATCATTAATTTTGCCATACCGTCTGCTCTAAGTTTGAACAATAGGTGGTCCGCCCAATGATGCATTCTACTCTTTTGAGTTTGAACCAAAAATGGTCCGCACAATAATGCATTTTTGGTGGTGGCCAACACTTAATAGGCCAATCATGTTTGATTTTGTCCTCCATTTTCAATGCATTTTTGCCTTTACGGTGACCAAATCATGCTAGACTTAATTTGGGAGGAAATATGTTGTTGAGATATTCACTGGGTATACATCATAGTTGTCAACTATAATATAAATGTGTATAAAATGTGCAAATTTAAACATTTATGAACGCGCGCCGGACATATCGTATATATTCCCCATACTAAGATTCATTTTTCACCTACTATTTAAATTAAATTTTACAAAATAGTGTTACATTGAGGGCACCACCTGCTTATAAACTCGTATTTTTATTTGTTAAATTGGTTAAATGGCTTTACTATTGAAATGAAAACACAAATTCACGTGAGAATATATATATATATATATATATATAAGATTTATCATTGCGATCAAAGTTTTATCATTGCATTCCGAATTGAAAAATAATTAAGATCTATATATAATTTTTGGTTGAATAAAATAATTAAGATTTGTCTTTATCTTCTGGTATCACCTCTAGTAATGCGCACTAAGCCGCCATCGAGTTTTCTCGAGAGAGATATATATATATATATAATTGGACTCTGATATACAAGCCTCCTTATAGTATCAAAATGAGGTTATGTTCTAGGACGTAACACCAATTTATAATTAATTTTATTATTATTATTTTTTTAGAACACGTGTATCGATTACATAATACATGTATTATTTAAATTGAAAGTGCAGTTCGAAAACGAGAACTCAAGAACTTATTTCTCTGATCTCTGCCAACGAAACTATGCTTATAGAAGCCAATTTACATTTAGTTTTAAAAGATAACCTCCATTACTTAGCATTAAATGGACAATAGCCAACTAATACAAACCCACCTTTAGAGAGGACATCATATTCGGGCGAAATTTTTTTATTGCGCCTATTTTACTGGGCAACAAGTACATTCATTCGTTTATTACGGCACATGCATTACATGGATGATCTAGATGCATCTGTTACACGGTGCAACGATCGTAAATAAATTTTTCTGCATTCGAACCCTAACAAAAACATGAGAGTGGAGTTTGCTCAAGAAAAAAAAATCCATTACTTAATTACTTTGAGAGAATGCAATACTAATTTAGTTTGAGACTGTAATATTCATTATTTTGTTCTGTTGAGAAAGCAATATTAATTATTTTGACAATGCACTAGCAGTTAATTTGAGATCGAATAGAACACGTTACTTCATTATTTTA